TAAAAAAATTAATAATTTTTTATTTTTACTATTTATTAATTTTTTTAAAAAAATATTTTTTAATATTATTAAAATATTATAATTTTAATCTCTATAATTTTATCTTATAAGTAGAATTTACATTATTTATTTTATAAATAAATTATTTTTTAAAAAATCTTTTAAATTTACATAAAAAAAATATATTGAAATTTCTTGATCTTTAAGGGTACCGTAGCAACTCCCTTATGATAAACCAGCAGCGGAGCTTGAACTAAAAAATAGTTGAATGAAAATATGTACGTTAATCTAAAAAGATTTGTTCTTAACAAATTAACAGTATAAGAAAATTATCGTATATCTATGATCAATATTAACCATAAATGAAAGTGTTATAATCATACATCTCTCTGCTAAAAACCGGATAAATCAAAGGGACTAGGCTGAACATGTATTACAGCTGTAACTGCCTAGTTCAAGGGTGCACCTATAATATAGATGTAGAAAATTTAAAAATGCAAGGTAAGGGCTCTCTTCATTAGGGCATCAGGAGTAATGCTCAACAAATTTGTTAATCTCTACCATGACTTATACTAATTCTCCTATTGATTCTAAGTTTCTAACTACAAAGATTATTCACCGCCATCGACACGTGAACATCAAGACTAATGTACATCAATATACTGGTACCGCATTCTTACCAATCTGTAGGGCGGCCAGTCCTCTTCTCTACCAAATCAACAGATTAATTCAAGATTGGAACTATAGGAAAGGGGCGATCATAAATTAAACTATGTTTTTCTTGACTCTATTTTAACTCAATAAAATTGCAGACAATATCTCTCCCATGGTCTTCTCAGGCATGTCACCCTCGCTAATCTCCTCCATGGACTCGAGAACAGCAGCATCTAATACTAGCTTTCTTTTTGCAATCTCGTACACATTTTCATCAACTGTTCCCTTTGTCACCAGCCTTCAATGAAATGTCATAAGAAAGAAGTCACTAATATATCCAATTTATAGGGTTTAGAGTTTAAAAAAAGCAAAGAAATACACAAGGTTTACCACCCTTCCTAATGTTATGGGAGTGAAGAAAAATGATAAATACCGATATATGGTTACAGGCTTTGTTTGACCGATTCGATGGCATCGATCTTCGGCTTGTCTATCAATCTGTGGGTTAAAATCCATGTCGTGAATCACAACTGTATCAGCTCCTGTTAAGTTTAAGCCCTGTCCACCGGCTCTCGTGGAAAGTAAGCACGCAAATATTGAAGTATTGTTATTGAATGTATCAACTATTGTTTGCCTCTCTGCTACCTGTGTACTGGCAGTCAAATAGTAGGATCTTTAAGATTTTAAGGAGCAAGGGAAAGCACTGGCTGGTGAACAATACATGAAATGGTGCACACTTTTACGGTCACACTTCATCCATGGAGAGATAAAAACTGAATTCTACACTTCTTGTTCTTTAGTCACTATTAATTAATAAATTCATTACAGAAGAAACAGCAAATAAATTAAAAGGAAAAATAGTAAAGCTAATAAAATGCCCATACTCACAATTTGCTTGGTATAATGCTAACGCAGTATATTTAATAGTTTATCACAAGAATAATAAAAGTATTAGTACATATGAAATATTATTATATGAAAATTAAAATTTCTCCCTGACTTCACAAGGAATATCTTCAGTCAAAGTGCAGTTTTAAAAAAGATACAGCGGAGACTTGCAAAACAGCTCTTGTTTTAGTTAGTGATTGTTCTAATCCTGTTGATTGCAAGAGAGGAAGAGATCTCATGAAGGGTTTCAGAGTTGCTCAAATTTGACAACGGAATTTAACCTTCAGTTTGCTGATGATACATTCTCTTTTTGGAGGAACATAGGAATTCTACCTTGAATTTCCTCTATTTTTAAGTGCTGAAGCCCACTACAGTTTGTTAATTCGGCCAATAGTGGTTTGGCATGCTTATATGTTGATTCTGAAATTCGCTAACTAAAGGACATTATGCTGCCTGTCTAATGTTTCAGTGGCCCTTTATTTGGTCATTCATTTGTGTTGTAGTCCTTGGGCAATCTGTTTCCAGGATCATGTCATTCAAAAGGCTTCACAAATTTGGATAGTTGAAGAGGTGCTTAATCCACTCATCTAGGCTTACCTATTAACACCGTTAACAACTATTTCTAACTTAATTTTTCCCACTCGGGGTGTTTAAAAGAATAGAGGAGTTGCACAACTATCATAGAAGGATACGTGGTTATTGAACTCTTGGGAATTGGTTTCTATAAACATTGTTCTGGGTGCTAAATAGCTATGGTGTTGTCCTTTATAGACTTGGTGGCACCTAGAGGTTGAAAGTGTATATCATTAAAGCCAATCAGGGCACGAGACAAACAAAAATAGCAATCATTGCAACAATAATCTCTTTCCTAGAATTTTAGGAATCTTTTTGTTTATGATGTTAGTCCTTAGCCAACATGTTGGGGACACAGATCACACCATTCTCACCCTGCTCACATCCAATCCATTTTCAATTCCAAAACAATGGGGGAGCACAGATTAGGGATCAAATTTAGTTTGGGCAGTGCAAAGAGCAAGAGTTCCTGAGGCTCTGCCCTAGTGGGGTCTGGCCAGCAAACTTAACATTTCACCTTCATGAAAAATATTAATACATAAAAAGTTAAGAAAATGAATAAGGAGTGTCAGGTCAGTGTTTCATCTTCAGGTACGAGTACAAAAAGAAAGGAAAAAGGCTTTACTTTTTCTACGAAACTTAAAATCATAACTACTTTGAATCGGTTTCTATTTAAAAAGCATCACCTATTTACATTCCAACTATTCATCAATCCCTCAAACAAATTTAGCAACTTATGTTGCGTAATGTGAACACAATAATAAACACATGCACCTGGATTAATTTTCTCAAATCATTCTCATAAGATTATTTGAATTTCTCCTTGTTAAAATGACAAACAAAATAACATGGAAGATGCCACACATTATTCAGCTATTAAAGAGTCTTATGTCAAAAACTAGCAATACCTTCCATCAAGCCGTTTATAGGTCAAACCAATGACATCCAAAGTCCACTCCAATATGTCAAGCATTGAAGTCCATTGACTAAAGATCAAGGCTCGATGACCACCCTCCTTTAGTGAGGGAAGAAGTTCAGCTAAGGCCTACATTATCCATGGAGTAGCTCAATCTCAGCATACCCAGCACATAATCATGCCGCCGCTGTATAGTTGACAATTACAGAATTTTTAGAGTCATAAAAATCATACCCGACATTTTGCAGAAACCATAACATGCTTATCTGGAAGGATCCCCTTTCTATCATTGACACCATAATGAAGTAAAAGCTGCAAATAAAAAATTTACAGCTTGAAATTTAAGCCAATTTTATCCACAGTAGAAACAATAGTCAAGTAAAAAATTTTAATTCCAATGCCACCATAAAAGCTTGTATTAATGAAATGGTACTACATTTTACCTCACTGGAATCAAAACACAAACTAATACTGAACAATATAAGACGTGTTCTGACAAAACACCATGCAGAAATTGTAAATAGTTATAAAATGGTACCAGCAAACCTAAATCAATTCAAATTGTAATTTGTAGCTACAAACCAATAATATAATGCAGTTGCTGGCAACCATGGAATGAGAAATAATTGATTGAAAGAAAACTTCAGCAGAAATCATTAAAAAAAATCCAAATGATTTTATTAAAAAAATCCAGTTGATCCATTAAGCTGACCCAATTAGACGGTTCAGGCATGCTTCTTCTTGTTGCATTTTTCAGTAGCTACATAAGTTTGGAAGTTGATGTTTTCCTTGTTTGTTGTGCCTAAAACATTATTAGGGTCGCCAAAAGAAGGGTTGAATCATGGAAAAATCCAAGTTAAATAGAAAGCAATTGGTTGAAATTACCATTCTTGGGCTTCCATCTAATGTTAACGACTAACTCAACACAAGTACTTAAGCAATTAGGAAGAGGCCCAAGCCTGGATTTTGATCAATTATTAATTGATCATCATTAGAAACATCCGGGATAGGGCATCCACCAAAAGGAAATTGCTATACGATGTGATAGTAAACAGCAAAAGCCTTATATCACTACATGCAGTTGGCTACATGAATCATACGACACCATTGGAGTCCAATATCAAATTCTCAAGATATTATTCTTCATGAGATTCCTCTTAACGATTTCATTCCATGTCCTTCTTGATCTCCTTCCCCTTTTCATTAGGCTGAAATCATACAATCTACTTGCTTTACCAGTGCTTTCATTGGCCTTCTTTGCACGTCCAAACTACCTTAGCCAATTTTTTTCATTTTTCCCTCAACTAGTGCCACACTAATATCCTCTTATGCAATTAATTTGTATCTCTTCCTCGTGTAGCCACACATCCATCAAAACATTAAAATTCCAGCTACTCCCACCTTTTTCTCATCTTTGCTAAAAATAAAAGGTTAAATTTAAATATAAAACCAACATTATATTATAGTTTAGTTTTCATTTTGATGCTGTTTTTAATTTCCATAGTTCTTATTAACAGTTATATCATGGTTATTTGGGGTTATTATAATTACTATGCATATTGTTGCTTTTATTTGGTTGTTGTAGTCTATGTTCCCCTTGTGGCTTCGGTGGTAGTAGACAACCTCAACTCTCACCTTTTAAAGGTAAAAGATTATATCAGTAATTATTGTGCAATGAGAAATAATGTATCAATTGTGGAATCAAATTGCCCTCTTTTTTGTGTTGTGCAAGAAAACCCTAGTTGCATTGCCCAAAGGATCCTATAAGTCACACCAGCATGGTTGTTAAACTCAAGTTTTAACTTGTAAACCAGTATGAGTTTATGATTTTACGGTTTACCTATCAAAATTGAGCTGGAATGCTTGTAAACTTGTTTGGCTGCAAATTAGGCTGAACCCTAAACTTGTATAAACTAGAGTTCATGAGCACATAGCATGCTGCAAAAATCCCTCAAAGCACCACAACGACACCATTTAAGCATTGCTCCCTTATGTTTTGTTCTGAAACCTAAGTCCCACAATACCCATTGTGAAAAGAAACTGCAGTTCTGTGTTGCACACCCTATCAACCATTCCTCTGACAACATTCGCCGCCACTGACCACCATGTGACAAACCATTCTCCGCCTTCAACCACCCGCCAATCACAACCAGGTCTGCAATGCTCAACATTTGCATAGCCCTCACACAAAAGCCAGCAACCTGAAAGGATTTGGGCAGCCATAAATGGAAGGCAGCAACCTGCAAAAAGACCGATCACACCCTTCTAACCTGCATGCAACTAAAAGCTAAAGGAGGCATGCCTTGGGCTCGAGTCTTGACTGCCTTCGTATACTATTAAAACTGAAACCTTGGGTGTCCAAACCAAAAAGAACATCAACCCTTTTCTCTGTTATTTTATTTTTGTCTTTGTCAATTAATCTGGTTTTGTTATTTTTTATTATTAGATATAACCTTTTGGTTTATTTTTCTGCAACATATATGGACTGAAATTCGGAATTTCACAAATTACATAACTGAGAATGTATGTACTGTCATAGCTTGTTACGTTAGTATACTTTACTATGAAATTGGAATGTTGGTTTTCTATTTTATGGTATTATATTTGGTTTGGATACTATAATTATGTACTTTTAATATTATTTTGGTACAAGGTAAACTCAAACGAGTTTACAGGTTGAGTTTTCCAACCCTCCACAAATTTTTGTAAACTCTCAAGTTTAACAACCTTGCATACCCATGTTCGTTTCACCAACTTCTCATCATAAACCTTAGTTTCTTCAATTTTTTTACACTGCCAGATAAGATTCATTTGACAAGCTGCATCATTAAAAAATTGCCCCAACAAAATTGCAGCTAATTACTCCTTTAATTAGCTCCAAAAACCAATCAAAACCCATATGAAGACATCACAGGTTTTATTCATAGAACTCAAACAGAGACCAATCAGAACCCAAAATAGCTTCCTAGTCATATTGCCTGCAATGCTGCAACTTGAGCAAGTACTAGAAAGAAAGTCTATTTATCAGGGAAATGCTTCTTTTAGATCATTGATTTTTCCATGTTTCAGAAGAAACTGGTATGACAGATTTCAAGCTTAATTAGGAAGAGGCTCCTTGATCCAAGTCTCAACCTTATATTCAAACAATGTTGGAAATCCCACATTAACTACTTATATAGCCAAAATAGTGTAGACATAAGTGGGAACAACTCGAACTCCATGAGCTAGTTTTTGAGATTGAATAAGATTGTATTAGAACCTATCATAGTGGTTGTTATTGGGCCGATAGGGCCACTTGTTACCAGACTACCTGCATAGATTTAGTCCTCAGTGTGAGAGAGATGTGTTGAAGATTTCACATCAACTAATGATGGCAAAAATAGTGTATATAAGTGGGGACAACCCTCATTCTATGCGCTAGATTTGTGGTCGAGTTAAATCTAAACCCAATATTTCTGTCAAAAACTCAAAATCAAACAAACCTAATATTAAACGTACCACTGAATTGAAGTCTGAGCAGTTCAAACACAGTGAAGGGGCTCAAAGTTCAAACAAGGGCAAGGCAGAGGCCAATGAGGTGAAATATAGGGTCAGGCACATCAGGGAAAG